CATCCCTATTCCACACATTGGCTGATGGAAAAGTATGTTTTCTTAATAAAATTATTGCAAGCAGCGTAAGGTTACCACCAAACAAGACAAAAGTCTATTACTTTGTGTTGATAATGTTATGCTAGTGCTCCAGATATAGAAATAAATCCTCCTTTTATTTTTCTTCCATGATTTAAATAGGAAACAATCAGACATTTGTAAAGAGAAAGAGGAATGCAAGATTAGGGTATGATGAGCCATAACCAGTAGATGGCTGCAGAGGAAGGGGCTTGGGACGTGCAAGGGGAAGGGAGACAAGGCTTTCCTGTTTTTTTGTTCATACATTATTGTCCTCAAGCATGACTTACTTTCATAATAAAAGGAAAAGAAGGAGTAATTTTTCCTTCTGAACCAAAAAGGGATAATTCCAACAAGAGACAGAGAAAGGTAAAGGGAGAGATAACTGCCAAAAGACTTACATGAAGTAAGTTCTTCAATGTGATGTAGTTTTGTTTTGTTTTTAACATAATATGTTTGCATCCACCCTTCACCCAACTCCAAAGTCCATGAGCTCTCAGCATATGTGTATCTAGCAAGGAAAATCCAGGCTTAGTTCTTGCTGAGACATGGGAATGAGATGGGACCCGAGCTCTTCCTCTGGAATGTAGCAGAAAGAATGTGAAGGTTATGCTAGACATCTTATTTGGTGCTGTCTTGTCAGATAATGGGGAATAATAATAGAATTGGAAAGATGACCAAACATCTATAAGGACAGAAAAAAGCTCAAAAATAACAGATTTTACAACACTTCGATTCTCTGAACAATTTTGTTACTGGATGCTGTGCACATACATTATATCCCAGAACATTTAGAAACTGGAAGGAAACCACATACTGAATTGAGAGGACTCTTAGAGAACAAGAGGTGTCCAAGACAGGCAAATATCACTCCAAAAAAAAAAACTCACTGCCGTCAAGTAGTTTCCAACTCATAGTGACCCCTCCTTGGGTTTCTAAGTTGGTATCACTACAGAAGTAGATTGCCCAGTCTTCCTTCCCAGGAGTAGCCGATGGTTTCAACCACCAGCCTTCTGGTTAGCAGTCAAATGCCTTAGGCACTATGCCACCAGAGCTCCTACTATCATTCCAGTTTCCACAATTCTGCAAACCATACACCTACAAGCTCGACCTTGACTCAGGAAAAAACTCTAGAATAGATTACTCAAGGGATCCTTTGTGAACTCCTAGAAAAGATAGAACATGGGACCACTTAGACTAAGTGTTGGGGAAATATAATTAAAAACAAAATCTACTCCCAACCTAGAATACCACTCCACAAAAACAAAAGAGAAAGAAAACTTTCATTATTGAATAAACATTAAACCAGAATGTGATGCATCACAGACAATTTGCTAAAGTGGTTGCAAATTCAGGAAGAACTCGTCCCCTTTATATGTTGTTGCTGTGTGCATTTGAGTTGCTTCCACTCATAGCAACCTACATGACAGCGGAGAACTCCCCACAGAGTTAAAGTACCTCATAGTGTTTCCTAGGCTGTTATCTTTATGGGGCAGAACACCAGATGTTTTCTCCCAAAGAGCAGCTGGTTCAAATCGCCCACATTTTGGTTAGGAGCTAAGTGTTTAACCATTGCATCTCCCAGACTTCTTACCCTTTTATATAGCTGAGTAGTACAGCCCAATATTCATGTTTTCTGGACTGAATTGCTAGTTTTCTAGCATCTTTATGGCAAGACACCTGAGGTTACATTAATCTCCTCCCAGGAAAACTTGGAGGTAGGAGACAAGTACAGGTTACATTTTAAAGAAGTGACTGCCAGGTCCTTGAGTTAACACTTTAGATTTCTATACTTTTCAAAAAGACAGAGAACGATTTTACAATTACATGTTATATAAAGTGAGTTCTGAAAGAGCAAGGGAGAAGGGGAGCCTCTTACCCTATTTTCAACAAGGAGAATTACAACCTCTTGTTTTCATTTTGTATTTGTCCTTATGCATGTCAGACTAATGTAACTTTTTATCTTTGCTAGATCAGTTAATCAATGAAAATCAGTAGGAAACAGTCCTAGATTTCATCAGGGCAATTGAAAAGGACTCTTATGCAGAAATGTATCTTGAATTCAGTAACAACTGCCCAGGACATTTAATTTCCAACATCATCTAATAATAATTAGCACTTGGCTCCCAAATTCAGGCTGTTAAGAGATGTACTAGAGGAACAGTTAGGCAGACATCTAGATGGTCTTTTCCGAAGATCCTCAGAGCATCTGAAGATTCCTAGGAAGGAATCTTCAAATTAAAGAGCCACATGCCTAAAGTTGATGTAAGAACTTCAAGATGGTAAGCTTTCTTTGTGGCCTATTTTGAGAATAGAACACAGATAGAGGAAAATATTTTCTACTTCCCATCAACTCACCCCACCCTGCTGCCTCTTCCATGCAGGGACAATCAGGCCATCAGTATGGCTGGAGCAGGAATCAAGTGTGCAAAGACAGGAGCAGGGGATATCAACAGAGGAGCCAGGAAGCCAAGTGAGAAGTGATAGAGTGGCCCCTACAGGACAGTTGCCCTCTTACTAAATAAATTCTATGTACTTAGTCATTTAAACTTCAGCAATTTTCCTGATGGGAACTGAGATATTGAATTTAAAGAACAGTACTTAATTATACAGGAGGTCTGGTAGCGTAGTGCCTAAGGCACTTGACTGCTAACCAGAAGGCTGGTAGTTCAAACCCACCAGCCACTCCTCAGAAGGAAGGTTGAGCAATCTACTTCCATAGTGATACTGCCTCGGAATCCCAAGGAGGGGTTGCTATGAGTCTGGTCCGACTTGACAGCACATAACAACAACACAACAACTTAATTATACCAACTTAATTATATCAGACAGACATTCCCTAGGAGAAATATGGTCTATTCTCAGAAGAGGAGGGTGACAATATCCTGACTGGTTAGAAAATAGACCTTGGGTTAGGCTCTGAGCATGGTCCCTTTTTCAAAGGAAACTCCAGGTTTGGTAGCCAAAGCCTCATTTGAGTTGTCACAGCCCAGGGTCATGACCACTAACTCAGTTTTAAACCTGATTACTTCATAGACCCAGAACCCCTCACTTGAATAGGAAGCTAAGTATCTTTGAGGGAGGGCCTTGCTTGCACCACTGCTACAGTACCTCTGGTTGTCATCAATCAACTCCTTGTGAGTCAAAGTAAAACTACTCCATAGAGTTTTCAGTGGCTGATTTTTTCAAAGTAGATCACCAGGCTTTTCTTCCTTCTGTGGTGCCTCTGGGTGGACTCAAACTGCCAGCCTTTCAGTTACCAGCCAAGCACCTAACTGTTCTACCCAGGGATGTTTTTGCAACAAGTAAACCAAACCAAACCTTTTGCTGTTGAGTCTATTCTGACTCATGGAGACCATATGTGTTACAGAACAAGACTGTTCCACATGGGGTTTTTTTAGCTGATTCTTTATGCAAGCAGATTGCCAGGTCTTTCTTTCACAGCACCACAGGATGGGTTTGAACCACAATATTTAGATTAATAGTCAAGTGCAAACTGTTCGGATCGTATTTGCTACAAGTAAACCAAACAAACCAAGCCCACTGCTGCTGAGTAGGATCCGACTCATAGCGACCACTCCTTGGGTTTCTGAGGCAGTATCACTACAGAAGTAGATTGCCCAACCTTCCTTCTGAGGAGTTAGCAGTCTTCTGGTTAGCAGTCAAATGCCTTAGGAACTACGCCACCAGAGCTCCCATAAATTCTCCTCTAAGCTTTCCTCAAATGAAAATCAATCACACCCATGAAAAAATGTTTATATTCAATAAATGCAGCCTACAAATACAAAACTCAGTCAGGAGTTCCCTTAGACTGTTTTAAAACGTTTTCTTAAAATGTCTAAAACAGCAAACAATCAATTGCCAAAAAATCTAAAGAGTTTTTAATTTTTTTTAATTGGACATAAGTGAATTGATTAGTAAACTGAGCTATTCTCCAGACCAATAAATAAACAAATGAACAACAACAACAAAAAAAAAAAAAAACCTGTTGCCCTCAAGTTGATTCTAACTTACAGCGATCCTATAGGAGAGAGTAGTACTGCCCCCATAGGGTTCTCAAGGCTGTAAATTTTTACAAAAGCAGACTGACTCATCTTTCTCTGAAGGAGAGGCTGGTGGGTTCAAACCACTGACCTTTTGGTTAGCAGCTGAGCGCTTAAGCACTGTGCCATCAAGGCTCCTTCCAGGACCAATAGCTCTGTTTATTTCAATCTTTGACTTCCTGAATCATTTCTGTCTTTGGCTTCTCTAAGTTTGTTTACTATGGGGAAACTGAGGCTGCTCACTTCAAAAGACTCTTGGTGGTAAAAAGATTGGAAGCCATTGAACTGTTGGTTGTCAGTCTCTTCCAACTTGAGCATCTATAATTCTAGCCATCAGAGACCCTTGTGGACCAATGAGTGTACTCTATGATTACCCCAATGAGTATCAAGGAGAAATGAGTGTTATCTCCCAAGACAGCATTGGAGATGGAAAATAGGGGTGACTGCTGACTTAGAGGGTCCAGGGTCATCATGTTCAAATATGACCTGAAGGAAATCCATGTAGGTGTATATTGAAAAGGATTGAAGAGCCTTATGCGTTATGCTTAAACCAGTCATATTTTTATTAGAAGTTGACACCAAAGGAGTCTTCTTAAAGACTAGGCAACATCAAAAGAAAGAAAAATGGAATAAGGCTTTGCTGAAGTGAAATGCATTGACCACACCAAAATGCAAGGAATAGTGTGGACCATTATTGCTGAAAAGTCATATTGGTTAAGAAAAAATATCTCTTAATAGCTAGACAAGTTCCCTCATCAATTCCTGGAAAGAACGTGGTTGGACTTTGAGTAAATTTAGAAAACAAGTGGTATTTGTGCTTGGCAGGGGAAAGGCACCCACAGGGTGCTATGCACTTGTAGACAGCAGCAGATGTTCAAAGGAGGTGTGACTTGTGCTCCATCACTGAAATGTTGCTTCCTGGAAGCTGGCCTCATGGCTGGGTTGGCAGGAAGTCAACAAGCAATTGTTTGCTTTGCAGGAACCAGTAGATGATTTGCCTAAACCAGTCACACAGCAAGCTGTTTGGTAGGAAGGGGATTTGCAGCCACTTTGGTTGCAGGAATTGGACCCACCACAAGTTGGTTGGCCAGAAAGCATGGTGCCACAGGAAACTGATTTACAAGGGTTCTTTACAGAACAAGGGAGCTGACACTTAGCTACTGGCTGACATATAAAGGATATGGAAGAAGCTGGTTGGCATTGAAGTGGCTGGCAGGAGGAGGGCACACAGCAAGTCGAATTACAAGAACTGAACATACACGTCGATGGCTGGCAGGGAACAGACATGCAAGGAACTGACTGACAAGGCTTAAAAATGTAGCAAATAGGTTGGTAATAAGTCGATTTGCAGGCCTGGTCTTTGCAGCTAGTAGAATGACATGAATCTGCTTGACAGCAAGATGGTTGGCATGGACTGGACACACAGATGTTTGGTGGGCATGATGTTTCAGGACAGGAAGTTACCTCAGGACAGGGAGTTACCTCAGAGCAGGATGGCTGGCAGGATCTAGTGTCACAGCAGATTGATTGGCCGCAAGCTTCCTGGCATGATCTGGACACACAAACAGGTTCCCGGCAGGAGCCTTGTTGGCAGGGGCTGGCATCACAGCACTTTGCCTGACAGCTGGTAGATTCTGAGCAGGATGGCTGGCATGAGCTAACCAGACAAGTAGACTGACCAGGGCCAGATTCATGGCAGGCTATGCTGGGGGAAATGGGTTGGCAGACAAATCCTACACAAGAAGTTGATGGAAGGCAGGTAGTTTGGCAAGAAGCAGGTGCACAGCCACCTGGAGCATTGCTGGGTAGCTGGCAGTTTTCTTGGCAAGTGACGAGTTGCCATGTTCTGCTCTGGCAGGAACTGGGCAAGCAGATAGCATTCTTGAAGCTGCTTCCATTTGGGCAGATGGAGATGGTGGGCACAGCTGGAACGGCCATCGTGTTTCCAGGACAACAACTGTCTGCCATGGTGCTGGTGCTCACCTTGCTGGGGAGTTTCAAACTCAGTATACCTGAGTTTGAAAGACATCTAGTACACAGGGGCTTTTATAGTCTTTACCATGGGTGCTGGCATACTACATAGCATCTTTCCTTGTTATTGTTTGCATTCATTTACATACAAACATCTGATTAGCAGGCTTCAGGAGTCTGGGAGATGTTGTCCCCACTTAAAAACTTGTTTGTTGAGTTGAGAGTTTCCTTTGCTGAATTTGGATTCATTGATACTGCTCCTGCTCTGGAATATGTTATCTCTTTTACAGACTGTTTCCCAGCCTCACTGAATCAGGCCTTTCCTGGCACTAACCTCTCATCAGGAAGCCTCAGCCAAGCCAAAGCTGCCCTGCTCTTCCCCCAGGAATGCAGCTCTGTGCCATGCAATCAGTGAACAAAGCTCTGACCCAATTGGGGAAGAGAGATGTCAGAGATTGGGAGTGGAAGTCAGACAGTGGATTCTAAGGGCACCTAAATAACTCTTTCTAAAACCTTCTTCCTGAAACTTTATTACTACTACTACTACTGATGGCTTTCCATTTATTTGTTTGTTTGTTTGTTTTGTGAGCTATAATGGACTAGTATTGGCCATTTATTTTACAAGCTCTTAATGGCATTTTTTCATTGACTTCTCCCAATGACTTTAGGTAGTAAGTACCATTGTCATCACTATGTTAGAAGTGACAAAACTAACTCAGAGATTTTCAGTTATGTTCCCAAAATTCTGCAAATTATGAGGTAGAAATAAGATTCAAACTTGGGTTTATCTGATCCCCAAACCTCTGATCTTAACCACTTACTAGACCTCCTGACTGTAGATAGGGGGGTTGTAACATGGTAATTGAAGTCTGATGTTTCTGAAGCAGCACACTGGCTCATGAGCAGGCTTCCCAAGCATCACATTGGGGATCTGCAACTCTAGTGACTATAATCATCAGCTGGATCAAGCTGGTATAAGTCCTTATCCCTGCTTATCAATACATCATAGATAAGCTTTTAATTTGGGGGGTTGAAAATCTGCAAGCTTAAACTCATACTATGGAGTGCATAGCATGTGAATTCTATAAATATAAAAATACAACAACCAAAAGTAATGGAAGGACATCCCAGCAAAGTGGATTCAATATTAAGTCAGCCCCTTCCAGAAAGGATTCATGGAGACTTTACTGCTCCTGCTTCTCTTGCTCTGAGCTTGTCCTGCCTCTGCATAACCAAACAACTTCAATATCCTACAATGGTTCAAATGCTGGCCTAGTTCTTGCTGGAGGTCCATGATGGAGTGGAAAGATCATTGCTTTGGGAGCAAGACAGGGCTGGTCTTGATTGCAGGCTCTGCTACTAACTCATTTTGTTGGACATGTTAGCTAATTACACAAATCTTCAAAGTACCAAAATTTGATCAACTGCATTACTATTGCCACCACTCATCTCTCAGTTTGTCATACTGTGGTGGCTTCCTGTTGCTGTGATGTTAGAAGCTATGCTACCATTATTTAAAATGCCAGCAAGGTCACCCATAGTAGACAGGTTTCAGTGGAGCTTCCAGACAAAGACAGACTTGGAAGAAGGACATGGCCAGGCCCACTTCTGAAAATAATGGCCACTGAAAAACTTATGAATAGCAGTAAAACATAGGCAAATATAGTGCCAGAAGATGAACCCCTCAGATTGGAAGGCACTCAAAATACAACTGGGGAAGAGCTGCCTCCTCAAAGTAGAGTTGGCCTTAATGATGTGGATGGAGTAAAGCTTTTGAGACCTTCATTTGCTGATGCGGCACAGCACGAAATAAGAAACAGCTGCAAATCTCTATTAATAACCAGAATGTGGAATGTACAAAGCATGGATCTAGCAAAATTCAAAGTTGTAAAAAATATAGTGGAGCGCATAAAGATTGATATTCTAGGCATTAAGGAGCTCTGGTGGTGCAGTGAATAAGGCATTTGGCTGCTAACCAAAAGGTCAATGGTTCAAACCCACCAGCTGCTCCACAGAAAGAAGATGGGGGCAATCTATTTCTGCAAAGATTTACAGCCTCAAAAACCTGATGAGAGTCATTATGAGTTGGAATTGACTTGATGGCAGTGAGGTTTTGTTTGTTTGTTTGTTTTGTTCTTAGTGAACTGTAATGGACTATATTGGCCATTTTGAATTGGATAATCGTATGGGCTACAATGCTGGGAATGGCAAATAGAAGAGGGGTGGTGTAGCATTCATCATCAAAAAGAACATTTTGAGATCTATCCTGAAGTATGATGTTGTCAATGATATAGGATAATATCTATATGCTACAAGGAAGACCAGTTAATACTACTACTATTCAAATTTACACACCAACCACTAAAGCCAAAGATGAATTGAAGATTTTCTTTTTACCAACTTCTGCAGTCTGAAATTAATCAAACATGCAGTCAAGGTGCATTGATAATTACTGGTGATTGAATGTGAAAATTGGAAACAAAGAAGCATCAGTAGTTGGAAAATATGGCCTTGGTGATAGAAATGATGCTGGAGATTGCATGATAGAATTTTGCAAGACCAATGACTTATTCATTGAAGATACCATTTTCCAACTGCATAAATGACCACTGTACACATGGACTTTTTCAGATGGAAAACACAAGAATCAAGTCTACTATATCTATGGAAAGAGACAATAGAGAAGCTGTATATCATCCGTCAGAACAAGGCCAGGGGCTGCCTGTAGAACAGACCATCAATTGCTGATATGCCAGTTCAGCTTGAGGCTGAAGAAAATTAAAACAAGCCTACAAGAGCCAAAATACAACCTTGAGTTTATCTCACCTGAATTTAGAGACCATCTGAAGAATAGATGTGGTGCATTGAACATCAATGACAGAAGACCAGATGAGTTGTGGATGACATCAAGGACAACACACATGAAGAAAGCAAAAGGTATTAAAAAAAAAGAAGAAAGGAAGGAAGGAAGGAAGACCAAAATGGGTATTGTAAAAGACTCTGAGATATGTTCTTAAATGTAGAGTAGCTAAAGAGAATGGAAGAAATGATGAACTGAAAGAGCTGAACAGAGGATGGTTTGAGAAGACAAAGTAAAGTATTATTATAAAATGTGCAAAGACCTGGAGTTAGAAAATCAAAAGGGAAAGACATGCTTGACATCTCTCAAAATGAAAGACTGAAGAAAAAATTCAATCCTTAGGTTGCAATAATGAAACATTCTATGGACAAAAATGTTGAACAATGTAAGAAGCATCAAAAGAAGATAGAAGAAATACATAGAGTCATTGTACCAAAAGAATTTGTCAATGATCAACCATTTCTGGAGATAGCATATGATCAAGAACTGATGATACTCAAGGAAGAATCCAAGCTGCACTGAAGGAATTGGTGAAAAGCAAGGCTTAAGGAATGGATGGAATACTAATTGAGATGTTTCAACAAAAGGATGTAATGCTGGAGGTCTCACTTGTTTATGCCAAGAAATTTGGAAGACAGCTACCTGGCCAGCCAACTGGAAAAGATCCGTATTTTTGCCCATTCCAAAAAAAGGTGACCTGACAGAATGCAGAATTTATTGGACATTATCGTTAATATCACACTCAAGTAACATTTTGCTGAAAATAATTCAAAAATAGTTGCAGCAGTACATTGACAGTTGCAGAACTGCCAGAAATTCAAGCTGGATTCAGAACAGGGCATGGAACAAAAGATATCACTGCTGACATCAGATGGCTTTTAGCTGAAAGTGAAGAATACCAGAAAGATGTTTGTGTTTCATTGACTATGCAAAGGCATTTGACTGTGTGGATC